TATTTTTTCCATGTCTGAATATCATTGTAGACACTTTGGGAAGTCCTTTAAGAGGGGCTTTAAAATGAGAGGATTTGGGGACACAGGTTTTCTGAAGACTATGCTGAGACTACCTCTGCAGGAGAATGATCTCTTATTTTAAATCTTTCTCTATAAAAAAATAAGACAATCAGATAGAGACCTCCTTATCCTTTGGTCCTCCTCTTCTTCCTCTACCAGTTAAGAAGAACATTCTGGCATCCTCTCCCTGTTAAGCTTTTTCTTCTTCTTTTTTCAAATTACCAATCATTTCCAAATTTCCAAGAGGTGAAAAGCATAAGGGTGACTGGGTAGGATGGAGGAGAAACCTGATTTTGGAAACTGAAATTCCAACCTGTTTAAATTGGTCCCAATAAACATTCAGCTATACTGAGCCGACTGTAGAAACATTTATATGTAGTTGCAAACACACACGAGCAAGTGTGCAAATGTGCAAATACACAGGCATGATCAATCGTACCAGAAATGTGAAACCAACATATGCATTCACTTTCAAGTAGGCAGACAAGTAGAACCACAAGATTTAAAGACCCAGAACAGCATATGTGTAAACTCACAGTCAAATGCAATTGCATAAGCTCTTAGAGGGTGACAATTGTTTATATACGCCTGTTTGTGGCAGCATGTATCACCATACACAGATGATATGTGCTGTGAACCATCATGTACATTTTCATTGGCACCTTCTCTTTGTGAACACTCTCCCAGGTGCCTGTTCATGCACACCCATTCACACCCAATCTCCTTGTTGATCACACAGTCATGCAGAGCTTCAGAGTCCATAGCCTTGCATCTTCACGCATATGGCTACACTCACCTGGGCCCGTCATGGATCACAGAGAGATGTGCTACCCTAGAGGGGCACTTCCACATATGCACTGCTTCCATTCCCAGTGACACCATTGTGCAGTGACGGCAATGCCCAATCACAGCCTCACAAACAGCACATGCTCTCACACTCACACGTAGGACTCACACACACTGTCACACACAGGAGGACAGCTGCATATTCTGAAGCCTGACCCTTGTCCCCAAGTGTATCCTCTGCCCTCCCACATCACAGGAGGAAGCATCAGCAGGGTCTGGATGTAGCTTGTCACTGGAGAGTCTGAGGAGGGAATGATTGGCTGCACTTATGGGACTGGGGACCTTGAGGGCAACTTAACTTCTCCTCAGAGGCAACCCCCTTTGCCCCAGCCTTCATCTCTAGAGTAGGAAGAAGCTCAGCTCTGGGACTTGTTATCCTTTCTCTCTGGGCCAAATTTGGTGGGAGATGAGGTGATAGGTGCTGCTTCCAACTCAGGGGACATTCAGAAGCCCTGTGTATGGCAAAGCTGCTGCTCCCTGTGAGAAAGAAGGATGAGGCTGATCTCTGGACCCCCAGAAGAATGATGGGGAGTCCAGGGTTTATAGCAGTAGCTTCTGGGGCCAACCCTCCTGTGACCTCAGCTGGGCTGGCAGCTTCTTATAGGAAGTATAGGTCTGAGAGGGTTTGTCCGTCTGGTGACTATGGCAATATACATGGCTGTGTGTAGAGTGTGTGCTTGGGTGTGGGGAGAGCATGGCCCTGTGTAACCATATGTGTCCAGGAGCTTGAGTGTGTCTAATTGTGCAGCTGCATCTGCATCTGTGGGGGTGGCCACACCTCTGAGACTGTCCCTTTGCTCAGGAATGTTTCCCATAGGAGTCTGGATCTAGGGTGAGGGTGTGTTTTTCTCAGTGTGTTTGTGCTAAGAGGGAATTGTGTCTACATGTAGCATTCCAGATGGGAATGGCTTTCCATGACACCATAAAAGAAAGATTCTAAATATGAAATTCAATGATTCCCTATTGTCTGTTGAGTAAAGTCCAAATTCCCCTACCTCATATCCAAGCTGCAGGTGCCCTTCTCATCCCAGATCCTCAGTCTTCAAACTTCCCTCTGTGTCTTTCCCAATACACTCCTCTCAAGCCAGTTAAATTGGTCTTCTTAGAGTCTTCTCCCCACCTGACCTTACTTTACTCCTGTGCCTTTCTTTTACATTTGTCCCTGCCCCCAACATAATGCCCCTTCCTCTCGATTCCCACTCATGTTGCTGAGCCCAACTCCTCTGGTATAGTAAGTGCTCCAAATAAGACCCTCAGCTTTCCCCACTTCAAACTCCCTGTTCTTCTCACTGTCTGTCCTAGTAAATAGTGGTGAAGGAGGTTAAAAGGGATATTGTTATCAGAGTTGGATGAGCCCTGCTGGGTATCTCACTTTAGAAATGGAAATCTGACAGTTTCTCTTCCTTTGTTCTCCAGGGTGGGCCCTGTTACTGTCTTCAAATCCGCCCCCTCTCCTTTCTTGTTTTCTTATCTATCAAATAGGCCCAGTGTAATAGCCTGCAACTTGTCTCCTCGGATTGGTTTCTAGGATTCATGTAGTTATTGTCTCTGGAAGCACCTAAGCACATCCTGTAGGCCAAGATGTAGGGCACTGGCCCCTTGGGAAACTCTCCTCATTGTGGTGGGTACTCCATGCCCTGAGAATCCAAGAAAGAAGCACAGACCATAAAGGAGATCTTTGAGTGGATGAAAAATCCATACATTATAAACTGGGGGCAAATCTTAAGTTCCCAGTCCTGCCATTGACAACTCTTCTGATAATACTTGCAGCCTTTGTTGTGGCTTATGGATTGTTATGGTGACAGGAGGCAGGAGGAGTTGGGGAATTGGGAAAAGATGATAGAAGCTTGTAATTGGAGAAGATGTTTAAATTTATTTATCAAACTTTTGTCCAAATGTGCTGAGTTTGGGATATTGTATATCTGCTCTCAAGATACCATTTCATCAGGAAATAGGGTGACCAACTATGTTGGCTTGCCCAGGACTGAGTGCCATCTTGGGATATGGGACTTCGAGTATAAGACTGGAATAGTTCTGAGCAAACAGGGATGAGTTGTCATTCTTTCAGGAAAACTATGAAGTTCTTTAAGATTCGAGGAGACATCTTATCTACATTCTTCTCTCCATTAGCTTGGGATCTCCAAGAACGCCATAGTTACTAAGTGAGAGGACCCTGGTTCCGATAACAAGGAACATTACCTTCCCAGGAAGCCAGGTTGAAGCCTGTAGTCTTTCTGCAATCTAAGTGCCAGGTGGCTGATTTCTCCTTAAAGAGGAAAGTGGAGGGATGAGGCTAGCCCAGACGGGGGCCCAAGGAAGAGACTCCATTGGGAGCCTTTTGGGGTCATAGTGAAGTATTGCTTGAGTCCCACACATTGCCACCCTGAACCCCCTCATCCATAATCAGAGAAATGGAAGGGTGATAAGGCAGGAGTAGACATTTTTTGTTGGCTGTGTTCCGCCTCTCTTTGGAAGCTCCTGCCCCATAACTCCTGTCTTGCTCCTGCATGGAAGTGCTTCCCAGGCAGCCGCAGTGCCTTGGATTTGCCCATGTGAAACTGAGTCAAAAAGACAAAGGAAGTCTACAAAAATTGTGAACTATGGGTGTGTGAAGGCCTGAAGAACACTGGTTCTGAAGGGTGTACTTTAACCCACAACTTGGTGCACTGCAGTTACCGTTGCCCAAGAGGTCAGGGTGATGGTGTTCCCTTTCCTCATCACAACCTTAGCTCTGGATGTCTTAATCGTAGCACAGAGCATTGACTCTAATCATATGCTAATCTGAGTGAGTTTGTAATTCCAAATGAAATTTAACTAAATTCACCATTTTCCAATATCTTAGGTTTTAAGAAACATTAATCATTTTCCATAACCTTAAGTCTTAAGTCACCAAAACATGCCAGTTTGATACATAAAATATTCTTGTGCCTTTCCTCTAGTTCTCACCCCAGCCTAACCTGTAATAATTAGACCATGACTCAAATTTATCACAATCATTAACCACACACCGCTTACCTGATATCTAATACAAACTAAACTGTAACTCACAGCCCAATTTGATCAGTTTTATGCTCTAACATTAACCCCAAGATATTTGCAACTTTTCCAACCAGTCTTAATTTTATCCAAACTCTGACTCCTAAATTTATCCTATATTTGCTACTAATAAAAAACCAATCTGAATCATACAATTTTCATAATTTTAATCCATCCATAATTACCTGATTAATGCCTAATTCTAACCTTAACCCTAAGCTCTTCAACTGGTAGCCACAACCTGAAGGCTATTATAACCATAATTCCAACCCTATTCTAACTATAATCATAATGCAGATTTTAATTAACCTCCACCATGAGCATGAATTAGTGTGACCTTGGCCAAATCCAAACCCAAGTGCAGTAATTTTAAGGAATGAGCTTCTGTTTGTCCTGCAACCACTCAGCCATTTTCCTGAGATGTGAAATACACAAGGGTGGAATGTTTGCTTCATCAATTCACTCTGGCATGAGTGGTTTCTGAGGCTACCCTCCTGTGGTCAAGGAGTTCAGAGCATACTCACTGGCCATGAGAATCTAGGAATACCTGGAGACCACACAGCTCTCACTTAGCCTTTCTGGGGATCAGCTTCCTCCTCCTCCTCCTCCTCCTCCTCCTCTTCTTTTTAAAAAAACAATGTAACTTAAAAAAAATTTTGTTTTTAGACATTGATGGGCCTTTATTTATATGCAGTGCTGAGAATCAAACCCAGTGCCTCACACATACTAGGCAAGTGCTCTGCCCCTTAGCTACAGCCCCAGCTCCAATGAGCTTCTTCTTTAGGTGGCAAATAATGCTATTTTACGTTACCCGGTAACATCTGGGAACTTTTATATTTTGAACATTGAGGACCCTCAGGGAGCTCCATAGAAACATTAACCTGGTCTCGATTCACGCTCTAGGGCTAGCCATAGAATACTCATGGCTTCCTGTCTCCCTCCTGGATGCTTCCATTTCCCCCTTGATAATCCCTTAAACAATGACAGAAGACATCCAAATCAGAACAGCTATTTCATTCCTGTGGTGATGGGACAGAGTGTCCTAGTCTTTCCATAGTCAGACTTAACCAGCCTCCTGGGACCAGTCCCTGGTACCCCTCCCTGGACAGCAGAATCGACTCCGGGTCCGCCTCAGGGTCTCCTTGACCTCCTGGTTGCGGAGGCTGTAGATGAGGGGGTTGAGAGCTGGAATGACAAGGGTGTAGAACACAGATGCCATCTTGTCTGTGTCCAGGGCATAGCTGGAGCTGGGACGCAGGTACATGAAGATGAGGGTCCCATATAGCATGGCCACAGCTGTGAGGTGGGAGCCACAGGTAGAGGCTGCCCTCAGGCGGCCCTCGGCCGATCGCATGCGGACCACAGCCCCCGCGATGAAGCCGTAGGACACAGCGATGGCCAACACCGTGGCTGTCTGGATGAAGCCACAGACGGCGAAGAGGAGGACTTCGTTGAGACTGGTGTCATCGCATGAGATGGCCAGTAGTGGAGGGATGTCACAGAAGAAGCTGTTGACCTCCCGGGAGCGGCAGAAGCTCAGGTGGAAGGTGAAAGTTGTGTGGATAAAGGCACTCACTGCCCCTCCCAGGCCTGATGCCCCCAGCAAGGCCAAGCACAGACGTGGTGACATAACCGTTGTATAGAGAAGCGGGTTCCCGATGGCCACATAGCGGTCATAGGCCATGGCGGCCAACAGGCAGCACTCTGCATCAGCCAGCCCCGCGAAGATAAACATCTGGAGGGCACAGGCTGCATACGGGATGGTGGCACGGGGCAGCAGCAAGTCCACTAACATCTTGGGGCCAATGGCTGAGGAATAGCAGGCATCCAGAAGGGAGAGGTTGGCCAGGAAGAAGTACATCGGGGTGTGGAGCCGGGCATTCCCATGGATCAGCAGCACCAGGCCCATGTTTCCCAGCAGGCTCACCAGGTAGACGGGCAAGAAGATCAAGAAGAGGGTCACACGCAGGTCCCAGCGATCCGTGATGCCCAGGAGGATGAATTCAACAGGGGCAACCCTGGCCCAGGTGACATTCTCTGAGCTCATCCTGCTGGACAGAGACTTGAGGAGAGGCAAAGCAAGAGGGAGATGAGAGGCCATCATGGAAAGAGAAAGCACCAGACGTCAGGTAGACTTGGGTTTCAATCCTAATTGAAACAAAGTCGCTGTTAGACCTTGGACAAGTCACGTAACTTCTCAAAACCTTTATTTTGAACACTGAGAAGTTATTGCAAGTTTGCCCTTACAAAGACAGGAGTCTGGTCTGTCTTATTCACTTTTGTATCCACAGTACTGAGAACATTCCCTGGCACATAGCAGATGCTCAATAATTATTTGTTAAATGAATGAGGATGGCATTTAGTTTAGTGTCTGGCCAAGGATTAAAAATTTTATGACTATATCTGCATTTTCCTTTCCAGTGTCCTGGGGAGGAAAAGAGAAAATGGAATGGGCAGAAAAGTCCCCTGATCCAAAGGGCAACTAATTATGGACTTTCACATTTCCTGGGAGGACATTTTTCCTTAGGAGTTAAGACCTGGGAAAGGAGAGCCTTGGTATCCTTGGGGGAGAGTTTGGTGTGGAAAGAACAGAGAGGGTGAACTCCTTTACTGTGCTGATTCTTCACCTCTCTGAGCCTCGGTTTTCTCATCTGGGCAATGGGGAAACCTGCAAGGATTCAGTGAGATAATGAATGTAAAGCATCTCACACAGGGCCGGGTACCTAACAGGCATGTATAGAAGTTCCAGTGAACTGAGTTGAGTTGAGTCAGATGCTTTTGGTTCAATCCAGGAAGGAAGCAACTCCCCGGCAAGCAAAAATCAGCATAATTCCCCCAAGGGCAATGTAGCTTCACACTCCCTTGCCTTTGTACTTGTTCCCTCTGAGAACTCATTTCTTCTTTTTGTGTTTGACATAAACTATCTCCAGTGTGAAGTCCTCTCTGATCTCCTCAAAAGAAACTAAACTTCCCCCTCATCTATGCCTGCGGCAGTGGAACATGCATCTATCGCATCTATGGTAGCATGTCACCAGTCAATCCCAAACGTTTTTTGACGTGTCTCTCTCCTGGGGGTTTTGAGCTCCTTGTTTCAATAATCATTCAAAAAAACATTTATTGAATATTGCTATGTGATAAGAATGGGCCTGTAATTCATTTTTTATTTTCTAAGCTCTGGTGTGTAATCAGTGCTTGGTAAATTTTAGTTGGGTGTAAAAACAGTGAAAAGAGTATGGACTAGCAGCATTTAGGACTGGTTTTGAGTCCAGTTTCCGTCACTTCCTGCTGTAACTTCAAGCAAGTCACTTTGGCTCCCTTATCTCTGTTGCCTAAGAGGCAATGGGTGTGTAGCAAAGGGCCTGGAGCTGAGTGAAGTCTCTTCCCCTCCCCACCTTTTTTCAGTACTAGGGATTTAACCCAGGGGTGCCTCTCCACTAAGCTACAACCCCAGACCTTTTTATTTTTATTTTTTTGAGACAGGTTCTTGTTAAATTGCTTAGGGCCTGACTAATTTGCTGAGGCTGGCCTTGAACTTGTGATCCTCCTGCCTCAGCCTCAGTGTCTGGGACCCTCAATGTCTGGGATTACAGGTGTGTAATGTAAAGCCACTGCGCCCAGCTTTTTCTCTCTCCCTTTAAGAGAAGGTTGGATGTGTGGGAGGGGAATGGGGGATCATGAACTAAAATTGAATTCCATGCATGTATGAGTTTGTTGGGATGAACCCAACTGCTATGTATAATTATTAAGCTCTAATTTAAAAAGAGAGGTTTGAAGTTTGGGACATCCCTTTCTGGTGAGGATGATGAAGGTCTTTCTACAAAGCACAGCTTGGATGAAAAAGTTTGAGGATACTGATACCACATGTTGGTGAGGTCCACACTTGTGGAAATGTAAATTGGGACATTTTCCATAACTGTGCATACCCTAGTTTCATAGCCTGCTTGAGTTTCTATAGAAAAGTGCCATAGGCCCAGTGGCTTAAGCAACAAACATTTATTTGTCACAGTTCTGGAGATTGAGATGTCTGAGATCAGATCAAGGTGTCAGCATAGTTGGATTCTGGTGAGGGCTGTGTTTCTAGATTGCAGACAGATAGATACCTTTTTGCCGTATTTTCACATAGTGGAGAGATAGGGGAAGGGGAAGGGAAGGTTGAGAGAGAGAGAGAGAAGGGGAGAGGGAGGGAGGGAGAAGGGGAGGGAAGAGAGAGAGAGAGGGAGAGAGAGAGAAAGGTAACATTCATTGATCTCTTCTTATAAGGGCACTGATTCTATCATGAGGACCCCACCCTAACTGTTATGGGCCAGGGTACATGGGCAAAGACCAAACAGACTCCCTTTTACCCTGAGACTCCACATCATGTAAGAAATGCTTCTCCCATGGGAACACCCCGCCTCTGTGCCCATCAACAGTTGCTTAGCATAGCTTGTTTGGTGACACAAAATGGCAATTCTTATACAATATAAAATTGTTCTCTTTTTGGTTCTCATTTTTCTTGAACAATGTACCTGTCAGAGATTGATTATCCAGACATTAGTAACCATTCTTTAACTTGTACTCAATTAGGGATGTTTTGACCCACTGCCCCTTCTTCTTATGTTTTTAGATCTCATAACGTTTGGTTATGATTTTGAGTCATAGCAACAGCCACTTATGATTAATATGGTTTTGGACTATAAAAGGTGTATTTGACCCCCGGGGAGGGTTTATAGACTTGCAGCCACCTGCCATCTGGTGGATGTTTCCGTCTCCTGCTTTAAGATCGACTTGGTGATTTACTGTAATCTTGCAGTAACATAAGGGCTTCATTTAACCTAATTATCTCTCAAAGGGCCCCTTTCTGAATACTAACTACATATTGGAGATTAGGATTTCAACATGGATTTTGGGCTCACATTCGTGTATTCCATCACACCTAGTAATTCCACTTATGGGTGTTTACTTTTGAAAACATTCACATGTGTATACAGGGAGACATGCTTAAGGGTGCATGCACTCCTTGACTCTTCACAATGGCCAACCATTTGTGATACCCAATCTTTATCAATTACCTCATGGGGATTAAATGGGAAAGGAGTCACTTAGATGCATCAATATGGAGAAAGCTCAAAACCAGAACATGCAAAAAAATACAGATTGATAAGAAAGTACAAAATAATAATAATAATAATAATAATAATAATAATAATAATAATAATAATAGCTGATTATTAACTGCAATCATTAGCAAAATCTAAAAAGTTGATCTCTTAGAAACAGAGGGCAGAAAGGTAGTTACTAGAGGCTGGAGCAAGGGAGGACGGGGAAATGCCAAAGGGTCCAAAGCTCAGTAGACTAGAGGACTATGTTTCGTTGCTCGATCACACTGCGTGGCACTTCATTGTCCTATAATAACCCTACCTAAGTGTTTGTCCTCCACCTAATTGAGCATCTTGAGTTCAGGTACCATGCCTAGTTCACCCTTCCACCCTTGGGGACACAGGTGTTTAGGGATCTCTCCCTTCTCCTACTTGGGGGTCACTGGTGGAAAAAATCGTGGGCTTTCAGCTCCGCTCAACTACAGGTTGCCCATGAACAGAATCAGCTGCCTGAATGAAATTCTGTGTGCAGAACCCGGTTGACAGCCAACCCCTGTGTGTTTCGTTCTATCGACCTGGAAAGTCATCATCACTCACCCTTACAAAGTGAGGGGTGTAACTGCTTCAAGTGCCTTTCCATTTTTCCAACTGTAAAATGGGGATAATAAGATTTCAGGGCTTTTATTTTTTGCTTTGACATTTTTGGTGCAAAGATCCTTAAGCTTCAGTTAAGTAGATTTTATGGTGTGTGTGTGTGTGTGTGTGTGTGTGTGTGTGTGTGTGTGTAAGTAACATAATTCTCCATTAATGTCTCTCTCTCTTGTCTTACTACCAATGGGAAGAAAACTTGAAATTCTAGGTTGGATGTGTAGTTCCATGTAGGACTTGCCAAGGAAACAGGAGGACTCAGGCTTCCACAAAAAATCATTTCTGGATTTGCTCTCAGGTGCTAATCTGTGCTAGAGGAACCAGATGACTGAACTTTGAGGCTCCTGGCTCTATTTAGTCTAAAGTTGACTTTCTTTTCTTAATGGTTTTTTATTGGTGCATTATTGTTGCATATTAATACATGCACATAAGTTGATCACTCTCATTCCCCAGCACCTTCTCTTTCCCTACCTACTCCTCCCTCCCAGCCACATTTTTCTACTCTAATGGTTTCTCTTCTATTATTATTATTTTGAAGTAGTGCATTACAATTATATATAAAAGTTCATTTTCTAATCTTTTCAACTTTTGTGATTTGTTTAATTGCACATTTATATTTGAATCCCTGGGTTTAAAGCTTCTGAAGTCTATGTATCTATTTATGTATCAATGTACATATGTACCTATCTATTCTAAGATTGTAAAAATATCTCCTATGTTTTTCTTGTTATACTTTCATAATTCCATTTTTTGAGGGGGGGCAGTACCAGGGATTGAACTCAGGGGCACTTGACCACTAAGCCACATCCCTAGCCCTATTTTGTATTTCATTTAGAGACAGGGTCTCACTAAGTCTCACTTAGCACCGGCAAGGGTGCTAAGCTTGCTTTGAACTCATCATCCTCCTGCCTCAGCCTCCTGAGCCTCTGGGATTATAGTCCTGCACCACCTTGCCTGGCTCATAGTTTCATTTTTATGGTTAAATGTTTAGTGCATCTGGAATTTACTTTGGTGCATGTTGTAAAGGTAGCAAACTAAGCAGAAAGGGTGGGCAGAAGGTAACTTGGAGAGTTCAACATCACCGTAAAGTTGTGAAGTATTCCTCTCTTCAGCTGTAAGTTCTATGAGAATGGAGGTAGTGTCTCTTTCACTGTTATTTCCAAGTATCTGGTATAGCTGGGCACAAAGTGGGTGTTCAGTAAATTCTTTTGGAATGATGAAAGCAGCTACCTCATATATTCACTGTGACTGGCTAAAGGCTTTTATGTATTCCATTCTGCAGTAAAGGAAATTCCATCCATCCACCCTCCCTGCTTGGATTAGGGTGACCAACTGTCCCAGTTTGCCTAGAACTGTCCCAGTTTTATCCCTGAGGGTC